TTTAAAGAGTACTAAAATAATTGTTGATGAAATATTTTCCCTATAACTATCACAAAAACACAAAATAAGTAAAAATAAGTATTTATATTTGTGTACAAGCTGTTTATATTGTCAAAAAAGCCTGTGTTTTTAGGGTTATTAACAAAGTTCGTGTACTCAGGCCAGTAATATTTGGGGTCACAAGTTTTTGCCATGGATATTTTGTGGGTCAGAAGATAAAAAGTTTGGGAACCACTGGTTTAAAGAGCCATCTACAGCAGGTAAGACATTTCTTATCCATGATAGAGAACTGCAGTTTAAATTATATCTAATCATTTGAGTTTCTGCAATAAACCAGGAAGTTCCCTTCAGCAAAGCTTAGTAATAAACATTATTCCAATTCTAAATGAAGAGTGCTGAACACTAAAAATAAATCTGTTGGGATTTCTTCACACTAAAGCAAGTCTCATTGTTTTTATTTATTTGTTTTTTTAATTATTCAGAAAAAAAAGTCCTAATTTTTTTTTCTTCTAAAGCTAAAACTGAGGGTGGTTTTGCTGTTGGAGGCTCGTGTTTTTCTCCCCTGCATCATCAGGAGGCGTGCGGTGCAGGTGAGGCTCTTACCTGAAGCGCGGAGAGTCTTTCAAACACTCCTCAAAGTCCAGCTTCACCGTCATCCCTCCCTGCGTCCAGCCCCGCACGACAACGCACCAGTATCTGCCTGAGATCTCACTTAAAACCGGAGCAGGGCTGCTTAGAAATTCACTTTTTGWTTCTCGATTTCAGCGCTCCACTTGAGCCAGCTGGTTCATGGTTGTGGCACAAAAGTTTATTTTGTATTCCTCCTCGGCATAAAATAGTCCCCGTTCAGCTTCGGTCCTCAGCCCGGTTTCTCGCGCGCACCAGTGTCCGGAGATAACTTGTCACCAGTCCTGAGTGAAGGCAGGGGCTGTTCGTGGCCTTATTCTCATCTTATTCTGTCAGAAGTAAAAGAATAAACGTCCTCTCTGCTTCCGCCGGGATGATGCTGCAGAAAACAAACAGGTTGCCAAGTTTCTTCGAGAATAACAATAAACTCTTAACAGATAAATACGAGTTAATTTTAAATGAAAGGCGGTGTGAGGAAGAGTTGTCGGATGTAGACTTCCCAGAGCTGAGTACTCAGTTTGTTAAACACACTAACTCACACACACTGAAGGTCCAACCCCTCTGTGCATCACTCTCCTCACCACTTCCGGGTTTGTCAGTCAAAGCAAGTTGTGGTTTTAGAAGCAGGACAGAATGAAAGGTTACACTTCAAAGCCTCCTCCAGTCTGCTTTATATGAGTTTACAGACATTTATTTGCTTTAATAATTACACACAGCAGGTTCTGAGTTGTATGTTTAGCTGTTTTGTTTTCCGTATACACTTGCTGTGTGTTTGAGTTTTAAACTCTTCGGTTTTAATGACCCGTGTGAGCTTCACGTGTACTTAGAGCTGGGTGTGGATCCTTGTCTGGTGACTTCACGTGTTGTTATGAAAAACCTGTTCACAGATTCATCACTCACAAAGATTCAAATGTATGGAAGTACACTGCTGCCAAAATAATAATAATAATAATAATAATAATAATAATAATAATAATAATAATGTAGGTAACTTGATGTTGTTACAAACCTGTTCACAGATCGATCACTCCCAAAGATTCAATTGTACGGAAGCACAYTGCCGCCAAAAATAAAAATAAAAAACAAAGTAAAGGTTTCGTGTGCCAAACTGAACAAAATATTTTTCTTCCTAAAAGGGATCTGGTTGCACATGTTGTAATATGTATTTTCTCTACGCTACTAAAAGTTGTTGTTTATGACACACAAAAATATCTTATTACTTTTAAAA